ATCTTGTATACAAATGATAAATGTCATTAAAATTAAGTAAGTAATAAGGTAGAATTTAACTTGGCGCCGACTATTGATATCAAAACTTTTATACAAATGATACATGTCATTAAATTTAAGTAAATAAGGATATCACGTAGGTTTTTAAAAAAGATCGTTCTACTAAACAGCAAATGTGATTAGTCAGTTTTACAGTCGATTAAGTAATTGGCGTTGCTGAAACTGGCCGAAATGTTTTTTGACCAGCAGCACCCACTCTTAGCGCTTTTTTTACCTTTTTTTTTTTTTAAAAAAGGTAAGTTTATAAACATAGTACCAAATGGGTTTTATTTTTTAATTTAGTAGAATTTAAATAATAGTATGGTTTTTTACATATATTTTAAAGATTGAATTTAACTTGATACAACCAACTCAAAACCGGAAGTTTAAACAAAAATTAGAATAAAGATAGTATCACATGTTTAACATACTCTTCTAAATCTTGAATCAAATATAGTGTTCTAGGTGATATCCAATGACGCGAGAGATCAGTAGCAAAATTAAATCAATTAACGGAACACGTTATACTCTACAATAAATCCGCGAATAAGGCCACTCAGAAATTAACATCGTAAGACAGCATGGTGACGTGACCGAAAATAATGCCGAAGGAAACAGATAAAATTATGTCGAATTTTATACTAGAGTTAACGCAAGAAATAGCCGGCACGCGCCGGGCGAACTACAATAAACGAGAACACACAAAATTACAGTAATTATGCGCCTGCGAACCTTAGGTTTCACAATAGGCAAACGCAGTAGGCCGCATAAAATATTAATACTTTAGTTCCTCGCGATTCAAAATAACGTCAACAGTTCCCATGCCGTACAAGGACGCGAAGTGCGCGACTTCGCACTCACACCAACGTCGCTCTATAACATAACATTGAACAGCGTATTCCGCGTGAGGTCAGCGTTCCAGGGCTCCCGATATAGACAATTTTCCCGAAGACACGACACGGCGTCCACGCCGTAAATCCACGCGACAATCACCTACGACTCACGCGCCACCGATAACGAAAATCGGTAGCAATAATTGCCCTCAAACGCTCACCCTCACGCCGCCGTCCCGCGAACATGCACCACGCGTGCACGGTTTTTTTCGCTCTTGGCCGTCGCGATCTCCAGGAGGCCCGCGATTTTGTCTTTACTTTAATTCCCCGGTAGCCGACTTATTCGCGCTCGGGAGCCTCTCACGCTTGACGCCAAGTGCCTTGCCCAATTTTCTCTACACCAAGGTGCCGTCAATGACGGCTTGGCGAAATTACACTAACGGCACTTGACTACAGAACGCGAGAATCCCTCGCCCCAATGCATGCGGCTTTACAAAGATTTGAGCTCGAGGAGCCACCTCACCGATAATCTGCGGGTCCGGATCCTCTGGGCGGTCTCTCTCTCTGGCCTCGTCACGCTCTCGTTAGCTACGCCGGTAGCTCTAATCACCGTCAACGGGCCGGGACGTCCGCTCTTGTTAGTCGCCGAAAACGAAAAGGCATCGCGGATCGCAATTGATGCGCGATCACTACGCCAATCCCCTCCGAGATGCGCGCAGCCGCGCCGCGCTTTTCCGCGGCCAATACTCGGGCTCGCGATCCTTTGCGAACAGGGCCGTGCCCAGCGAGGTCCTTTGGGGTGGTTGGAGACCCCGCGGACTTAACTTGTGTCGGCAGCTTATTTCTTGCTGCCGACTGCCCGCCTTCCCGCTGGATGGTGCTCGGCAGGAGTCTTCGTCGGGTCCGCGTCTCCTCGGGGTGCTCCCTCCTTGTTCGGCGGACGCCGGGCTCTCCGGCTGCTCTTGCTTCTCTCGGGCGTAGGTTGGTCGGCCGCCACCTCGGCCCTGGCCACGGTTCCTTCCTCTCTCTCTTCCGCCGTCGTCTTCTTTCCGTGGACGTCGATCTTCCTTCGGTGAGGCGCCACTCATTTTACATGCAAAATTATTGCGGGGATTAGAAAAGAATACTTAAATCGCTAATTACGGTCCCTGGAGATTTCGCTCGCTCGCCATTCCCGGCTCGGGTCATGCGCTCATTCGCGCTTTGTGACGGCGAAGGGTCGCTGCGACGATGCAGCGAAACTGCAACGTCACAATCCATACATCCTTCATTCTTTCTTAATAAATTATTCATTAATTATTAATTCATTTTGTAATAAATTAAAGTTTAACACAAGAAAAATAATAATACTGAGGAAATATCAAAAATAATTAAAAAGATAATTTTCGCATTGTTACTTTCAGAAAAAATCAAGTTTGGAGAAATGTAAAAAAATTGCTAATGTATAATTACATATAATTGTATATAGATGTAATTTATGTGATTGAAGTTTGGATCGTTCTTGGAGCGAAACAATTGACGATCACTCGTATATACATGTGACCGAAAATTATAAACGTATGTCGAATCGTTACAAAACAAAAGGTAAAGGTGCAAACACAATCGAATGGCGAGCGCCATTCGAGCGATCAAAAATATCCTACATCCGTCCCAGCGCCCGGTGGTGAAATCCAAGAGCAGGAGGACGATGTCCGCGATCATAGACGGTAGTAAAAAAAAATTCGTTCCCCTCGCTGACCCGTAAGGGCACCGTATATACATATATTACCGCGCGCGCGCGCCGCTCGCGCGATCAGAAATTTCCTACGTCCATCCCAGCGTCCGGTGGTGAAATCCAAGAGCTGGAGGACGATGTCCGAGATCACAAACGGTAGTAAAAAAAAATTCGTCCCCCTGTCTGACCCATAAGGGCAACGTATACACATACAAAGTATGTATACATGGAGCACCCGCGGGCGCCGCTCGCGCGATCAAAAATTTACTACGTCCGTCCCAGCGTCCGGTGGTGAAATCCAAGAGCTGGAGGACGATGTCCGAGATCATAGACGCTAGTAAAAAAAAAATCGTTCCCCTCGCTGACCCGTAAGCGCACCGTACACACATACGAAGTATGACATGGAGCGCGCGCGGGCGCCGCTCGCGCGATCAAAAATTTCCTACATCCGTCCCAGCGCCCGGTGGTGAAATCCAAGAGCTGGAGGACGATGTCCGAGATCATAGACGCTAGTAAAAAAAAATTCGTTCCCCTCGCTGACCCGTAAAGGCACCGTACACACATACGAAGTATGTATTCATGGAGCACGCGCGGGCGCCGCTCGCGCGATTAAAAATTTCCTACGTCTGTCCCAACGTCCGGTGGTGAAATCCAAGAGCTGGAGGACGATGTCTGAGACCACCGACGGTAGTAAAAAAAAATTCGTTCTCCTCGCTGACCCGTAAATTTATGTAGCCGTGTAATGCTTACTTGGGCTTTCTCTGTATCAGGAGTTAAAAGAATGGTTAGAAATTCTTTGAATATTTCATCTAATTCTAATAATTCTGTACTCATCAACATTATTGCTACACATTCGAGTAAAAATGTCTTTACCCCAATACATTTTGGGAACTTTTTATGTATATATGATGACACATTTCATAAAATGTGCACAACACGTGTGCACAATTAATAGTGTATTATCAACTGGCAACTTCTTATCTAAATATAAATATACACGTTTTAAATAATCTATAATATCACATTTATTCCATTCATTCATGAGAGAATTTATTAAGGCCCAACTCCAATCTACCACTACAATTTTAAAAATAGGCCATCTTTTTCGATTCGTTTCAACAAAATGTCGATACCTTTTTAATAAGATATTAATAGATGGAATATCATGCTCGGATGTTGCCACCTCGACAATAGGTATTATTGACTCGTTCTTTTTTATAACCATTGCGTAGTACAATATTCTTTTACAATAAATATCTTTTGACTTGCGTACTATTGATCCTGTTGCATCAAAATGAGCTATTTGATCATTAATATCAATAATGTTTAATTGTTCTTTTGAATACATGATGGCATACAAAGGTGGATAATTTGTACGCGTTCTGTTTTACCGGCTCGTTACATTGTCTCATTTTGAAAAAACGGTGCAGCGCTAGCGGCGTATAATCCTACTAACTCTTGTGTGCAACGGCACGACAGCACGAAGATCGCTCGCATCAGACGCGAGCAAAATACAAGAAGAAGCAAGATATTTGAGTTGTTGATTCACCTTGGCATCTTGAGTTATTTCCTAACAAATTTTGGTCCTTCGAGCTTGGATATAACGACAACGAGGTGTTTAGAGCTCAAATATCAGTGACTCGAGCGTTCTAAGTCTCAATACGCTGACAAAGAACGGCTACCAAAGGAAAGGGAACGACATTGGCTTTCGGCAAGTACGAGACGCTTTAGCTGAAGGTTGATACGATTGAGGCATTCTCCGTCCACACCGTCGACGCTCAACAACGAGAGCTGAGGAATACGCTGGAAAGGAGATACTCGACATTTTTTTCCGTCATCTTCGACGATAACGACCAAACGACGCCATTGTTGGTAAAGGCTACTACGCATGCGCAACACGACGCTGCTACAACAACGTACTCGTATACTACGATATTGTCGACAATCATTTTGTACACCGGTAGGTTAGATTATAAGCGTAGATACGATGGAAACGATAGACGAATTGAAACGTCAACGAACGACGCTCAAGGCTCGCGCTACCAGGTTCAAAACCTTCTTAGAAAATTACCAAGATAGCTTTGAAAATCGCTTAATATTAGAAGTAAGGTTAGAAAAATATAACGACTTGTGGCATGAGTATCACGTATTACAAACAAAGATCGACGCGATTCTTCCCGACTCTGACGTCACGGATCGCGAGATATTTGAGGAAGCATTTTTTACAGTGCAAGCTGCGGCGCGATCGAAACTCGTACAACACAATGTTAACAGAGTAGAGTCTCGTTCCGTCCATCAAGCAGAACAACATGTTCAAGATGCGCCAAACGCGATAAATAATAAAACGGTGCGATTGCCTGTAATAACTCTGCCGAATTTCAGCGGAAGTTATGAACAGTGGCAACAATTTAATGACACTTTCAGAGCATTGGTTCATGACAATCCTAACCTCACCGCGGTTCAGAAGTTTTACTATTTGAAATCTGCTCTGTCAGGTTCCGCATCTCAAGTAATAGAGTCATTGCAAACAACTAATGAGAATTATGATATAGCATTAGAGTTATTAACTAACAGATTCTCTAATCTGCGTTTGACTATACATCATCATATTCACGAGTTATTTAGTACACCTCCAATACCGAAAGAATCTGCAGAGTTATTGCGAGCGTTGCTGGACAATTTTCAGAAACACTTGCGAGTGTTGCAACAATTGAAAGAACCTGTAGATAAGTGAGATACTCTTATAATTTATTTGTTCACTAGCAAGTTGGACTCAGTGACAAGGAAAGAGTGGGAATTGAAGGTCGTTCAGGACAAGCTGTCGACTACTACACAATTGATTGAATTCATTAATACACGATGCGAATACCTTGAAGCTCTTCGCCCTGCGCAGGTAACGAACAATCTTGTAAAGGCGGCGACACAGAAAACAAACGTAAACAAAGGTAAAAATGCGACTGTAGCATGTATAGCTACGAACGAAACAGGTGAGTGTCCTCTCTGCAAACAGATGCATCGACTGCATGCTTGTAAAATCTTCAAAGATTTAACCATAGAGTCTCGACGAGCTGAAACTAAAAGGCTTAATCTATGTTACAATTGTCTAGGTTCAAATCACTTATCACAAAAATGCACGTCACGAAATTGCAAACATTGTTCAAAGAGACACCACTCTCTGCTTCATTTGAACGAGCGATCTAGCGATGATACTCAGAACGCAGTATTGTCTAACAATGCATCCGCAAGTTCAATTGATTCCAATGTGAAGACTCAGGCATGCGAGACGCCGGCTACGACGTCGGTCTCCATGAAGACGGTCGGATCTAACAAACTTAAACCAGAAGTTCTGTTGTCAACAGCTGTTCTGTATATCCGCGATGATGCCGGTAATTTTCATAAAGTGCGTGCATTGTTGGATAATGGCTCGCAGTCGAATTTTATCGCTAAAACAACATGTCAGAAATTAGGTCTTAAGACAAGTATAACGAAGCATTTAATTTCATGTCTAAATGTGACGGAAACGCAAATCACGGAAACAGTACGGACTACAATAGTCTCTTCTAACACGACTTACGAGACGGACGTTAACCTATTTGTTGTTGATCAAATCACACGTCCTATCCCTACCAAACCCATTAACATGAGCTCCGTTAGTGTGCCGCCGCACATTGAATTGGCAGATCCAACATTTCACACGCCGCAGGCCGTGGATTTGCTACTGGGAGCAACAATATTCTGGGACATTTTGGAAACGGACAGAATTCAATTAGGAGCTAAGCAACCAATGTTACAATCCACAAAACTGGGTTGGTTGTTGTGTGGACAGATCGGACCGCCAATCAATGCATCGTCACACAATAACGTTTCTATATGTGGATTTGTACAAAGCGAGGAACTGCAGGCACAAATCGAAAGATTTTGGCGCATCGAGGATATGTCTAATACAAGACTCTTATCCAAGGAAGAATCTATGTGCGAAGATATTTTCCAGAAAGAATATCGCCGAACTCAAGACGGGCGATTCGAAGTTCCACTGCTATTTCGTGAGGACCCTATAAGCACATTGGGCGATTCCCGAGCGAATGCGTTACGACGATTACGCAGCATGGAACATAAATTCCTAAGGGATCACCAACTGCAAACGCGATATGGCAAGTTCATGGATGACTACATCGATCTTGGTCATATGTCTGCTTTGTCAGTTACTGACACACACAACCAGAAGATTAACTATTTGCCTCACCATGCGGTGACAAAAGAGTCTTCAATCTCAACGAAACTTAGAGTTGTTTTTGACGCCTCTAATCCAACGACGTCTGGCAAATCACTCAATGATTGTCTGCTAGTGGGACCGACAATACAGTCGGAACTATTCGAAATCATCATACGCTTTCGAGAACATCCTTATGTCTTGGTGGGTGACATCGTCAAGATGTACAGACAAATCAAGATAAAGCCAGATCATCGAGTGCATCAGTGCATACTGTGGAGATCCAATCCAGAGGATCCACCCACAACATACAGTTTAAATACTGTTACATATGGAGTGGCTTCATCACCGTTTTTAGCCATAAGATCATTACAACAGTTATCGGTAGATCATGAGAAAACACATCCCCGTGCAGCAGCCGTCATTGCCCGCGACTTCTACGTCGATGATATGATTACGGGAGCGGCCTCGGTACAACAACTGCACAAACTTAAAGCTCAGGTTACCGACATATTGAAGACCGCAGGATTCGAGTTGTCCAAATTTCGTTCAAACGTCTCACTCGATCAGGATGAGTGCCTAGACCACTACGAAATAACGGATGCAAAGGTCTTAGGATTACTATGGCAGTCAACGACGGATCTGCTACGGTACGAAGTAACTTGTATCGCTATGCCAGAAATCATCACCAAACGGATCACGTTGTCGCTGATCACGCAAATATTCGACCCGTTAGGTCTAATTGGCCCAACTACTATTAAAGCGAAAATTCTAATGCAGTCGCTTTGGCAATTGAAAATAGACTGGGATACACCTATACCAGAGACGCTTCGGATCCTATGGTTGTCATATTTTCAGCAACTACCAATTATCAACCAAATCGCGATTCCGCGGCACGCTATTTTACACAGCCCAAAGGACATCCAACTTCACGGATTCTGTGACGCCTCCCAGAGCGCTTATGGCGCATGCGTCTATCTCCGATCCATAGACAACATGGGAACGATTTACATACAACTCTTGGCAGCGAAGTCACGTGTAGCTCCCTTGAAGACCATTACACTTCCGCGACTTGAGCTATGCGGAGCTGTACTTCTTTCCAATCTCGTTCATAGAATATCTCAAGCGCTTACATGCACAGTCTCCAAGCATTATCTGTGGACAGATTCTGAAATTGTATTGGCGTGGATTCAAGGACAGCCCTCACAATGGCAAATCTTCGTTGGCAATAGAATTACGGAAATTCAACGATTGACAAACCAATCAGATTGGGCTCATGTACGATCAGAGCACAACCCTGCTGATCTGATCTCGCGAGGACTAATGCCCGAACAGCTTCCTGACGCTACGATGTGGTGGGTAGGACCGCCTTGGTTGAAGACTGATCCTCCGCTATGGCCGACGTCTTCAACGCAATTCTTGACAGACATACCTGAGGCACGTACTCAGTCGTTTACAGTACTTCACAAAGAAGATTCATTTGACATCATGCATCGATACTCATCGTTGACCAAGCTCAAGAGAGTAATCGCAACTTGTATAAGGTTCAAAACGAATTGTATGTTGTCCAAATCGGCCTCTCAGCGATTCTCTGGGCCACTCACGGCTGACGAACTACAGAAGACCATGACTATACTCATAAAACGTTATCAGCAAGAAGTTTTCGCTTGTGAACTACATCACTTACGAAAAAACAATACGGTAGATTCACACAGTCGAATCCTTTCACTCAACCCTATACTCGATCAGGAGGGAGTACTCCGCGTCGGTGGCCGGCTTAGAAATGCTCCATGTTCCTACACACAAAAACATCCGATTCTCTTACCTTCTAAGGGTGTTCTGACAGACTTAATTATACGAGACTTACATTTAAAGCACTTTCATATGGGACCACAATTGTTATCGACCGCTATCCGCGAGACCTACTGGATAGTGCACGCGAAAAATGCGATCAAGCGAATACTCAAAACATGCGTTTTGTGTTTCCGATCACGACCACGTAGCTCAATACAATTGATGGGTGATCTGCCTGCGTCCAGAGTTACTCCATCACGAGCCTTTCGTCACACCGGTGTCGACTATGCCGGACCTTTCAATATCAAACTCTCGAGAAATAAATCGGGTAAAGCTTACCTGTGTCTTTTTGTTTGCATGGCCACTAAGGCGGTACATCTCGAGCTAGTCTCTGACCTCACTACGGAAACGTTTTTAAATGCGCTCAAAAGATTTATTTCTCGACGAGGCCCATGCGAGTCCATTCTATCTGATAATGGAAAGAATTTTGTGGGTGCAAGCAACCTGCTGCGACAATTTGGTGAATTCATATCACACCCTGAACATCAAGCAAAAATCACTGATTTTGCGTCAAATCAAGGAATATCATGGAAATTTCTTCCACCTCACTCCCCTCATATGGGAGGACTATGGGAAGCAAACGTGAAAGCGGTAAAGACTCATCTTAGAATAGTCATTAGCAACACGTTGTTGTCATTTGAGGAACTTTATACGGTAATTGTTCAAATTGAAGCCATTCTTAATTCACGGCCTTTATGTCCATTAAATAATTCTCCGGACGAACTAGACGTTCTGACACCCGGACATTTTTTGATCGGAACATCATTACTGTCATTGCCGGAACCATCCGTGACGGACGTTCCAGTAAACCGCGTTAATCGTTATCAATTGTTGACTCAGATGCAGCAATCATTCTGGAAGCGCTGGTCTCGAGAATATGTTACTCAAATGCAACAAAGAAACAAATGGAAAACTACTGCATGCAATAACGAGATTCAAGTAGGCAAACTAGCATTGATTCGCGACGAGAATCTGCCTCCTCTGAAATGGCGCACGGGCAGAATTAACGAGGTTCATCCGGGCCCTGATGGTCTAATAAGAGTAGTTTCTTTGAAAACTACAACAGGAGTTATCCAACGTTCACTGCCGAAAATCTGTGTGTTACCAATTGATTAATGATATATTACTTATTGCGTGTAGCTATTATGTTGTCTGTATGTACTTAGTGTAAGTTCACATCTGCGATTTAGATATTACGACTACAGTGTAATTTAGACATTAAGCTTATTTAGTTATTTTGAAGATACACTTCAAGGTGGCCGGGATGGATAATTTGCACGCGTTCTGTTTTACCGGCTCGTTACATTGTCTCATTTTGAAAAAACGGTGCAGCGCTAGCGGCGTATAATCCTACTAACTCTTGTGTGCAACGGCACGACAGCACGAAGATCGCTCGCATCAGACGCGAGCAAAATACAAGAAGAAGCAAGATATTTGAGTTGTTGATTCACCTTGGCATCCTGAGTTATTTCCTAACAAAAGGTAAGCCAACATATTGAATGTACGAATTTTTATTTCGTGAATCTTCCACGTACTGCTGAAACAAATCGGATAAATCGTTTGAGCTAAGTGTTCGATCATTTCTACAATTGTGTTCTAATTTTGCTTTCTAAAATGTCGAAAGCAATCTTAGCTCTTGCATGTGCCCTTCTTGAGCAAGTTCTGGATCAGTCCGTTTTGCAATGTCACGTTGTAATGTTCTTGGACGAACATATTGAAGTTGTTCTTTTATAATTTTACGTTCATTTCCTCTAAGAGAACAAAAAATAGTCGGTCCTTCGTGCTTAATCTCTTCACAATTTGTACCAGAGATAAAAAATGTACATAGTCCTTCATTCAGTTTAATGAGAGCGAATCTAAAAGACTTGGAATGACTTTTATATCTGCATCGCACATAAATAACATATGAATCATGATTTTTACAGATTCCTCCAAAAAATTGTAATGGACATGGAAATTTAAGCGTATGTAACATAAATTTACATATTTCCGTACGTACGTTTTCTTTATTAATAATATTATCTTCATTTTTTAAGGAGTATGTGTTTAACTGAACTTCACCATGATCTATACAATATCTTTGTTTTAAGAAATGTGATATTAAAGGTGGTAAAGAACCAGAATCAAATTCATCTGCTTCGTTATTTTCGTTTTCTAAAATTTCTGAATATTCTAATATCGATGTATCTATTTTATTATAATTGATAAAATTATATTCCGATAATACCTTTGTATTTGTTGTTCTTTTCGGCGTTTCATTATACGTATCGTTTATATTCTGCTTCTTATTTTTTGCATCGTCATTACAAACAGAAACTGAAACGGCAAGATTATTCGTGTGTAAGAAAACAATTAAATTTTTTTGGGTTAATTAAATTATATAATCTATTTTCAATTTGGGGGGGGATTCTCGGTTGTAAGCGGGGATGGACTGTCAGGAGGCACCCTTTCTAATGTCGAAGGGCGATCTTTTTAGGACTGTATAATTTATAAACAATAATACACTGAAAAAAAATTTTTGTTATACGGACAAAATTTTTATGGTTAATTTTTTCAATAGTTCATCCAATCATTGTTTAGTTGCAAAAATATAGTTTGTTTATGTCAACCTTCTAAGTTGAAATAACTGACTTATATTATCAATTGTGCATATCGTGATCATCATACAAGTCTATCTGAGATCGTATAAAAAATATGAAATATTGTATTGTAATGTACATATCAGAGCAACATTTATAAAATATTTAAAATAATATGGTAAAAATGTAGATTAGGGGAGCCTCTCCCGATGACCTTGACCTTGACATATGTTGTCAAGGTCATTACCCTGAGTGACCTTGAGGAAGTTTTAACCGTCGGACCTAACTCGTTAAAAAGTTATTAATAAAAAAAAGTTTCAAAATTAACGTATCATTTCTGGAAAATTATACGTATTAATGTATCATTTCTGCCATATATGTATTATAACAGTACTATTTTTACACGCATGCACACACACAATATAACAGACCAAGAATAAATGCAATCAAAATGAATACAAGAGGTACACTTCTTACCATTTATGAATCACTATTCTACACCTTCCCTGTTCAGAAATGTTAAACTTTCCACGCGAAATAACTTTTACCCCCCCCCCCCCC